CTCTAGGCATGTTTTTCATTTTTTTCATAAAGTCAGTAATATGTTCAAAATGTTTATATTTCTTTCCCGTTGTTAATTGTTGTCAATAATTTGTCGTGACGTTTATAAAGATCTATTTCGAAATTCATAGAGATTCTATTCAGCTTAAACGTAAGTGCAATTTCTAGATCTATTCCATGTGACTCGGTGTTCTTGTTGCTTATTTTTCATTTTTTAAAGTTTTTAAACAACAGCGATTTACCATAGAGAAATCAAAATTTGCTTTCACAAGAAAAGTAGACACTTTAGAGTAAAATCCTGAAAAATCTCGAGGGTGACTATTTTTAGTTTACAAAAATAGTTAAATTTTTATTCAACCTCGTTTTGTTAATTCACACCAGGCAAAGGTTCATTTCCATTTTTAATGGGACAGACTAGTGTTATATCGTTTTTATTAAATAGAGGATATTGAACGAGTGTATGTTTTATAAAGAGTTGAATAAAATCATATTATGCGAGCCCGGGCTTTGGCTTGCCCGGCTATAGACTTCAAGTGAAAATCAAATAAAAACAATTAGAAAATATATAGGCCTAGAATTCTATACCTATCGATGAAATTTTCAGTGACAGTTCTAGCTAGGAGCCACCATTTACAATGTAACTCAATAGCTCTGACTTTCCGCGTATGAATATTTTTTATTTTCTACTTTTGCAATCTGTTTTCATTTTCAATTTTGTTATTTTAGTCTGATGCTGATTTTTTTAAAAAATAAGTCAGTGTTCATGTAATTTACTTTTTTGTTCACATTTGTTACAATGTCACGAGTGTGTTTCCTATTCTAATTAAAATCTGGGACCAAAAATATTATTGTTCCAGTTAAAATATACAAACCAGGGTATGAATCTTTTACAACTAACGCAGAGATTTTGATAAATCTACATCACTGATAAACGTTATTGCTATGACGAAACTGGCAATATCTTTTTCGAGATTTATATACTATTTGATGCACTCTGGACCATAGGCCTAACTTGTGTGCAAGATTTCAGATTATTCGCTCACTCCATTTTTCCAGTATAAGTGCAAAATGACCCAAAAATGAAAAGTGGTTAAATGCTTTTAACCCAAATCGGACAAGAATTACACAAAATCGCGGATTTATATATTACATTGTTATTAAAATCCGTCACAAAATAGAATTTATATCTAAATCAAATCTGAGTATATATATTCATTATATAACTATAAATGAAATGTTGAGAAATATTAATGAAATAAAATGCTTATTTTCATTTTCGTATTTTCACTGTAAAAAATATTTTAGTGAAACATGTTTTCCGTGTTTTCACTTGTGTCTTGCCGGACTACTTTCTTTTAAATTCTGCCAGTACACACAATTTAAGGAATAGTCTTAGAAATAGAGACAAATGTACATAATAAACAGAAAATTCAAGTTAAGTTTTTTTCTATAAATACATGATTTATTTTCATCTTGTGACATGAAAATTATCACATTTCACTCGTGACTACCGCCACTCATGAAATATTTATTTCATACCACTTGATGAAAATAGATCCTGTATTTACAGAAAAAAACTTGAATATCCTCTATATATTTTTAACATCTTTTTCATATTTGTCCGTGCAGTTTATCTATGTAAGAATGTATTTTTTATGTGTTTAGGTTTTAGGACCTCAGTGGAGCTCCTTTAATTAAATACCTTAACAAACTTATATATTATAAACCGTTTTTAACTTTTAGGTCCCAGCTTCTTTCAATATTTCATTTTGATACCACTTCCAATTGTTCCTGCGCCTTAATGCTCGAATGACGAATAAAAACTGTTTCGCGCATGTCACGTGATGGTGTGCCAACCATGTTAACCTTTTGGTCTTTCCGAATAATCCGGGCGAGGACCGATAGTTTTATAGCAAATTGAATCGTGTGACTAAAAAGAGATCGGACAATGTTTTGCTGGGGTCTTTAACGGATTAGTGTAGTAAAGTTTTTTTGGTGAGAATCAATCAGTGGTTAAACACACAAGATTGTCCCCGAGCGCTCAAGATTCATGGTCGAGTGATTTTACATACACTTTACTGTTAGAAGTTTGTGAGAGGGAAGTGACGGAAACGAAAGTATGGAAGGTTTGGAATTGTTTCTTTTATTTTAAGGACGTAGAAGAACTAAGTATCAATCAAAGATGTAAGTTATTATATTTTTTATTATAACTATATAGCCGAAACGTAATATTATTACACATGAAAATCGAGAAAGCGTTACTGTTTTTTTTAAGGAAAAAATGTAAATATTTCATAGAAAATCCGGGAAATGTTATTGTGTCACATAAAATTTGTAAATTATCAAATGTTTTTCGTAGGTACAATTTGTTTGACACAAAGTTAAATTTTCCATGAATAAGGACTTTAATTACAAATTAGCGTGTATCATAAGAAGTATACATGTTAAACTTTTAATTTTTCATGTGACGTTTCGATCATAGTTAACGGTATTTTTGACCATTATGATAATTATTCATATTTACTTACCATTGTAGCCATCTATACGAAGTTAAAGTGGTAGCTAATGGCAGATTACTGGTTTCAGCAATGTAGGAGTTATATATAAATCGTAATGCATAATTACAACAGTGTTACAATATGTTGTGTATGTTTTTTTTAACTGTGATACTATATTATTTATTACTGTCAATAATTAGTTTTTAAAGGAATGGTTATAACAATAATTTTATTTATTTCCTTCTATACTCAAAAGTCAAATGTTGAAAAACCAGATAATACAATAGCTAACATATGATTTTTTAAACATAAATTGTCATAGATAATTGGCTTATGATAAAAACCAAAATACAGAATGATATGAATAATTGATAGTTGGCATATGAGGTCTAACAAAGTATTGACACGGATGATTGACGTGTGATATGTAAAAAGGATGGCCATGTTGATGACAATGTTGTTGTTTATGGTAATGTTGATGAGGACGTCCATGGGTGTAACAGTGATGATGATATGACGTTGTTTAAGGAAGTGAGCAATCATCAGGTAAATCTAGTTATTTATAGAAGCTAGCTTTTTTAGAAACTAGTTATTTTTAGACAAGTGAGTTTTAATTTTTCTTCGTAAGTTTTATCAGTTTCAGAAAATGAAATTTCAAAAGGAACCAATGAACTTGCAAGTAATCATACTATATCGAGCCATGCTTGTGGAACAAGGACAGCACACATTATTTAACGTAAAAACAGCATACTTATTTAATTCAATTTACATTTGGAAAATTTGACATTATAAGAAATTTGATATACATATATACATGTAAATGGTATTATGTCAGTAACTGAAATTGCGTAGAATTACAAAATTTTATTTCAGAAATGAAGATTTTTTTTGGTCAAAATTGAAAGCTATGTTTTATGTTTATGTATATTGACGATATTTTGTGCGCATTGTTTATATCGATTTTGGTTGTTTTGGTTTCTTTCTCAAATTTTTGGAGTTGATGTGTGATTGGGGTTATTCGATTTGGGTTCTGTGTTTTAGTTTGTCTCTTTGTGGGAGTTGTTTGTGTGTTATGGTAGTTTTTCTTTGTCTTTGTTGGAGTTGTTAATGTCATATGTGTGTTATGGTTGTTTTTCTTTGTCTTTGTTGGAGTTGTTGTTATGGTAGTTTTTCTTTGTCGAAAATTCAGGCCTTATTTCTGAAGTGGCCGATAAGACAGTTGATTCTTTGCTGATACATTGTGATTGATTCGAACATTTTGGATTTTGTTATACTAGTCGAATTATTATTATTATTCATTTCAAATAGTTATATCAATTTTATTAGAAATGGGAGACACATTTATAGTTATATTGAATTTTCAGCTGAACAATTCCCAATTTTGTATAATTATATTGATGTTTAATATGAGTAATGTGATATTTTTGATTGTATTAATATATAGGCGGAGAATGCGACAATATATTAAAAAAAGATTGATTATTTTAGATTTAGAATGTGCATGACATTTCTTATAATGATATTTGTGTGTTGAATGCGACATTTTTAACAATTATATATACTGATTATTTTAGATGCAGAATGTGACATTTTAGACTAGTACTAGTACTCGTATATTATTGTTCTTTGGTTTTTCGTTTGTTTTCAGATGGCGTAAGAAAACATCACTGGATTACTTTTGAAAGACAACCAGATAAAATTGTATATTTCTAAATATTACCACTATATATTTCAGACTATTGTTCGATTGATGGTAAAACTAATGTTTATTGATCATTGAGCAGACGTAAAGCAGGAAATGGCGGGAAGAATCCTAGCAGACGACAGCTGTCGCGCAGATGCAATCATGCACCATATCTGACTGCCCTAATCTAAATTACAGGCTGGCCTAGCTCTATACTGGACTCGCTTTTAGCAGGTTAGGGTTTTGAAAAAGGAAATCATAACTTTGTAATGTATGTCTTGTTTACTTTTTGAAAATGAACTTTCGTGTCAATGTAATAATTATGTTGACATCATTATTGTTTAATGTTTCATAATGAACCATTTTAGCCCAACTGTTTGAAAAACGAGTAGGGGCTATTTTAGTCACTTGGTCGTCTGTTCTTGTAAAACACTTCGTTTTGAATAATTATGTTTTGTGTGTAACTTCCTACCTCAGAATTCATTATGATTGTGTAACGGGGAACATAATCTAAAAACCTTTAACTTTAAACTAGATTTTGATTTATATGTATGCCACTTGGTTAACTTGATTTAAAGCAGTCATGTTTAAAATAATAATTTAAGTTTACAATATATTCTTATCAAATGAGCATAATAATGCTGAGTTATTGGTCATTAAAAACATTTCAGTCATTTAAACAAATAACTTATAATATTAGTTACAATTATGTTTGAAATGCTAAAACATGTATCATTTGTTCGACTATGTTACCAATAGTGTATCCACAGGTAGCTGACGACAATAAATTTTCAAGCAGACACACGGAAGTCGCAAATTTCCGCTACTCGATGTTGTGATCTCAGTTACTTCCCCTGATGTTCAGTAGATGAAATGATGGTCGAGATATTTGGAAGAAATACAAATTTTAGCTAAACACAGAACAATACATTTTACAGGTAAGGGTTTGTGAGTCGCTGATTACACCTTTAACTCTGCAAAATATTTTTAATGGACTTGCCCATCTTCAAATCTGGACAAAACCATTACTCATTTTAAGGGAAAATTTCAATATATGTACTGACTTAATATCGAGAAGTGCAGATTATGAGCAGATGTCAAGGATATGCCGACTGATTTTTGTCTGCACTGGTCACACGGATACATGTATATTATGTTGGCACTAGAAGGCAGATACATAAATTATACCACACAAAATAATCAGAAAGTACTGATTACAGTTCATTAATAATGACAACTTTTAATTTGGTACAATGTTTGTATTTTGAAAGCATGTTAATTAGTCCCCTACCGGTTTAACCGGAGGGGACTTAAGGTTTACCCTCCGTCCGTCTGTCTGTTCGTCTGTCTGTCTGTCTGTCTGTCCGTCTGTCAGTCAGTCCGTCCGTCCACAAAACTTGATCCCGCGATAACGCAAAAAGTACTGAAAATATTTTAATGAAACTTGATATATGGATAGATGGCAGTATGGAAATTATGCACGTCTTTTTCTTTTCTTCCTATGTTGCTATGACAACTAATATTCTGAAAATATGGCAAATTTAACACATAAACTTGATCCAGTGATAACTCAAAAAGTACTGAAAATATTTTTATGAAACTTTAAATATGGGTAGATGGCAGTATGGACATTATGCACATCTTTTTCTTTTCTTTTTATGTTGAAAATTCTGGTTGCTAAGGCAACAAATAGACTGAATTTCAAGATTTCTGATTTAAATTTTTAAGCTTTTTCACTATAAGTTCTTTATTTCTTAAGGTGTTTACTTCAAACTTTAAATATAAGTTTCTGGTCATCAACCACATCATATGTGACAAGGTTTACAACTCTAGCACAAAAATTATCAGAATTACCTCCCTTGAACTTAGAATTTTTATGAAAAAAATGTTGTCTTTTTTTAAATAACTTCTTTATTTCTTAATGTATCTACTTTAAACTTCATATATATGTTTCTTATCATCACTCAACAATTTTGAGAAGGTTAAATACTCTAGCAAGATTTTTTTTCGAGAAATTGGTATTTTTCACTCCAGTTTCTTCATTCCTTTAAACTTAAAGTAAAACTCACATCATATATGACAATGTTCATAAATCTAGCATCTTTATTTCAAGAGTTATCTTCTCTTTAAGAATTTTGCATTAAAATATGTTATATTTTGGTAACAGGGATGTTTGAAAAAATAACTTTAGAGTCTCCTTCAGTCTGTCTGTATGTATGTCTGTCTGTCTGTTCATAAAAACTGTTTCCTGAGATCACTTTTAAAGATTTTTTCCAACAAATTTACTTAAAAAAGAGAAAAGTTGAACCATGAGTTATTCTTATTCATCCTTAGAAAATTGGACCTTTTGATTATCTGTTGTATAAACATAATTTCCTTACTAGGCAGGGAAACTTAACACATTACTGAGATATAGACAAACTTAGAACTCAAAAGATTTAAGTTCATCTATGTCATTCATTCACTGGTAAAATTGAATGGCCAATTGCCCATCAGAATGTTGCTGGGGTTCTAACCGGTAGGGGACTTTTGGATTGCTTGCAATACTATGATAATTGCTTGTTTCAGATGGAACATGACTTTTTGTAGTTATTGTTGCTATTCTTGAAAAAAAAATGAACTGAACATAATATAAAGAACAATCCTTCCGAGATCACTCGCTTCCTTAAAGTATTACAATCTAAATATAAAAATATACATTCAATAACTTAATCAAGAATAGGTAAAAAATATAGGCACTACATTAGTGATTGTGCCGAAAGAAGGGAGATAATTATGAATGTATTACAAATAAGGGAGATAAAAATATATATCTTATTATAATTATACTATAAAATATCATAATTATTTCTAATGCATAATGTGTATTTTGTAATGAACTGGTGACTTTGTTTGTGGCACTCCGATAACATCTTAATTTTCAATCTATAAATAGATAATTTTTTTAACCTATATTTCAGTTTCAGGATATGAAATTAGGAAAGAACGAAAGATATGAAATGAGCACCGGCAAACTGATCTTGGCATGTTACATCCTTATCACAGAACTGGAACCTACTGATTAAGATGAGGTAATAGTAGGTTTTATGAATATATGTATAGATTTGTTTCTTAGCCTGCTGAAAGCGAAAGTCATTAGTCTTTGCCTCCAGAATAGAGCCAGGCCAGCCTGCACTTTTGTGCAGTTTGACCAGCCTCTTTACCGTTTGCTAACTTCCAATTTTTAGCTCGACTATTCGAAGAATATGAGAGCTATTGTAGTCGCCCCGGCGTCGGCGTCGGCGTCGGCGTCAGCGTCCGCGTCGGCGTCTGCGTTGGTTAAAGTTTTTTGTAAAGTCAAATATCTCAATTATTACTTGAGATATTCAATTGAAACTTACAATACTTATTTATAGTAACAAGGTACATCAGATTGACAAGTTGGATAACTCTGCCTACAATATTGACAGAATTATGCCCCTTTTTAACTTAGAAATTTTGGTTAAAGTTTTTTGTAAAGTCAAATATCTCAATTATTGCTTGAGATATTCAATTGAATCTTACAATACTTATTTATAGTAACAAGGTACATCAGATTGACAAGTTGGATAACTCTGCCTACAATATTGACAGAATAATGCCCCTTTTTAAACTCAGAAATTTTGGTTAAAGTTTTTTGTAAAGTCAAATATCTCAATTATTGCTTGAGATATTCAATTGAAACTTACAATACTTATTTAAAGTAACAATGTACATCAGATTGACAAGTTGGATAACTCTGCCTACCATATTGACAGAATTATGCCCCCTTTGGAACTTAGAAATTTTGGTTAAAGATTTTTTGTAAAGTCAAATATCTCAATTACTGCTTGAGATATTCAATTGAAATTTAAAATACTTATTTATAGTAACAATGTACATCAGTTTGCAAAATTGCATAACTCTGTCTGCAATATTTGCAGAATTATTTGCCCCTTTGAAACTTAGAAATTTTGGTTAAAGGTTAACGGTCTTGAAAGATATTTACTTGAAACTTTACACATGCACTTAGGGTCATAATTGGAGGGTCATAATTGTATGTCACTGACCAAGTTCCATAACTCTATCTTGCATTAAGGCTGATTCATATCCCCTTTTCTACTTAGTCTCTTGGATAATGTTTACATGCAAGTTTTACATATCTCAATAACTATTAAAGATATTTATCTAAAACTTCACATATGCATTTAGGGTCATAATTGTAGGTCACTGACAAAGATCCATAATTCAATCTTGCATTTAGGCTGATTTTTCTCCCCTTTTTCAACTTAGAAATTCATGGTAAAGTTTTGCTTGTAAGCTGTTATCTCAATAACTACTGAAGGGTTTGCGCCTTTTTTGGGACAATTATATGCATTCATAATAATAAAGCAGTGATTTACTTGATAAAACATCTTAATAACAAGCCTTTGTACCTTTTCTGTCAAATTTATGTATTCATAGGTAATTAGTATTATTATACTCAATAAAAAAAACCTTGTGACATTACCTTCCGAATAGTCAAGCCAATTCTGTATAATTAGACTCTCTGTAAGGCCTATAACATGAATTTATAAAAAAAATTAGCCCTTTTGTGAACTTAAAAAATTTAACAATATCAAGGCTCTTTTACTATCAAGCACTTAGAATAGTCGAGCATGCTGTCCTACAGACAGCTCTTGTTATTTTCATGTGATAATTAGTTATAATGATTTATAATGGACTGTTCCTTAAATAAAATGTGGAAAAGTCCATTTAATAATTTCTGCAGGTTAATTGGCCAAAATATACAATAATAGCCATTACTGCGTTAGTCACGCAGTAGAAATATGGTAATAAGTACTGCGACTTCGGTCGTAAAAGACATTTAGCACATGTACATAATTACTTGAATCTTAAATCTTTTTACTTCTCTTAAAATTTGAGTACATTTTTCTTAAGTTTGTTTTTCTTGAAATATTTTTGGTTCATCTGGAGGCGTGCAGCTTTAAGGCTTGTTTATAGCTCTTGAATGAGACGTGTATTCATTTGGTCCTGAAACAGTACGGCATTGTGAAAATTGTTTCATGTTCGGGTTTGATAAAATATTTTTTCTTTGCTTAACACAGAAGCAGTTACCTTTGTTGTTGTTATTCAGTCATGAATTGCTTTGGCTAAGTAAATACATGTACACCTACACTGGTATCGAACATTTTTCTTCATTATTCAAATTTGATAAAACTTTTGTAAGTTTTAGTTATAATAAAGGGCGTCCGTTACCGAGTGGTTGAATGAATTCATTGACTTCAAATCATTTTCACCCCCCCTTTCTTTCACTATTATGGGCAGCGACTTTGAATTCATGAATAGTTTGTGCAGAGATGATCCACAGAGGTGATCCACAGCTAGCTTAATTGGCAGAGAAAATTGGTGGTTCTACTCGAGTGCCCCACCGTGTCTAAAATAATATATAGAGGGCTATTTTGGACCTTCTTCCACCAGTAAAGCTGAAATATTATATGACCTTCCAAATTAAGTGAAATGGATCTGCCCTGCATTGAATTTGGAACAGTCCATTTGAAGTTTATTGAATTGCACGGACCAATAGGTAAAGGGTTAAACCCAACCAGAATAATTGAACCATTGCAGTTAAGAATATACTAGAAATAAAAAGAGAATCGTTTAATGACATCAAGTCAATAAAAGCTTTATGACCACTATTTGAGTAAGACGTAATTATTTGTTTATTGTATTCCTGAATTCTATTATGTGCATTTTTGAATGAGAGTAAGGATAACATTGTTGTTTTTTTTTTAATTTGGTGGTTCAACCCGTGTGTCTGCTATGTCTTTTGCAAGTGAAACGCAAAGGTTACAAGTGATGTGAATATTTTATACATTATACAAGTTAAATGTTGATGCTGCACATCAAAGACGCCGCCAAATGATGTGAACAGTCAATCAGCATTGAAAATGTTCTCGATTACAGTTGAATATCCGAAGCACAAATCAATTTTTAGCTCGACTATAGGGAGTTTATGGAGAGCTGTCCTACTCGCCCCGTTGTCGGGGTCCAGTTTTCAGATTAATGTTTTGGTGCAGTAAAATTTTTTTTCACTATAACTTTTTCATTTCTTCAGGTATCAACTTCAAACTTCAAATATATTTTGCTTATCATCAACAACATCTTATGTGACAAGGTTCATAACCCTAGCAACAATATTTTCAGATTTACCTGCCCTTGAACTTCGAATTTTCCTTAAAAATACTATTTTTTACTGTTTCTTCTTTACTTCTTCAGGAATCAACTTCATACTTCAAACTTATGTTACTTATCATCAACCACATCTTATGTGACAAGGTTAATAACACTAGCACCAATATTTTCAGATTTATCTCCCCTTGAACTTAGAATTTTCCTTAAAAATACAATTTTTACTGTTACTTCTTTATTTCTTAAGGAATCAACTTCATACTTCAAATATATGTTCCTTATCATCAACCACCTCTTATGCGACAAGGTTCATAACTCTGGCACCAATATTTTTACATTAATCTCCCCTTGAACTTAGACATTTTACTTAAAAATGTTATTTTTAGCTCGACTATTCGCAGAATAATCGAGCTAATGCAGTCACCCATTTGTCGGCGTCGGCGTCTCTTTGGTTAAGTTTTTGCGTGCAAGCTGGTATCTCCATAACTACTGAAGGGAATGGCTTGAAACTTCACACACTTGTTCTCTGTGATTATCTAACATGATTGGCACAAGTCCAATAACTCTGATTTGCCTTTTTACATAATTATGCCCCTTTTTTCGACTTAGAAATTCTTGGTTAAGTTTTTGCGTGCAAGCTGGTGTCTCCATAACTACTGAAGGGAATGGCTTGAAACTTCACACACTTGTTCTCTGTGATTATCTAAAATGATTGGCACAAGTCCAATAACTCTGATTGCTTTTTTGCAAAATTATGCCTCTTTTCTACTTAGAAATTCTTTGTTAAGCAAATATCTCCATAACTACTGAAGGGTTTGTGCCTTTTTTGAACAATTTTATTCATTCTATAATAATAAAGCAGTGATTAAGTCGATAAAACATCTAAATAACAAGCCATTGTACCTTTTCGGACAATTTTATGTATTCATATAGGTAAGCATTATTATACTCAATGAAACACACTTGTGACAACTTTTCTAATAGTCGAGCGTTACTGCCCTCCGACAGTTCTTGTTACTATAACTTCTTTAGTTTTAAAGCTATATACCTCAAACTTCAAATACTTATTCCTTATCATCAATTACATCTTATGTGACAAGGTTAATAACTCTTGAAGCATTTTTTTCAGATTCATTTCTCTTTGAACTTAGGATTTTCTTTTCTTTGAACTAAGGATTTTCTTTAAGAAATATTATAACTTCTTTACTTTTTATGGTATCTACTTCAAACTTCAAATATATATTTCTTACCATTACACACATGTTTGACAGGGTTCATAACTCTAGTGTGACTATTTCCAGAATTATTCCCCCTTGAACTTGGAACTTATGTTTACAAATTTTCTTTTTTACTATAACTTACTACATAATTATATATAATTTATTTTTCTTTCATAGTTTGGCTTCCTTACTGCGTCCAGTTTTTTATTAGTCGAGCTTCGCTGTCTCCTGTGACAGCTCTTGTTCTCCATGTTCTTGGTATGTGCTCGTTGTTTAATAATTAAGTTGCATATTTTTGTAAAACAATAGAACCTAATGCATAAATTCACAAGGTAATGCCATGTCTGAAATTCTGAAATGTTTGTCTTTATGCGACAAAGATTGAAACAAAGATTGAAACGTCTGGTTAAAGCAAAATAAATTGGATAACAAGTAAAATTGAGTGATTGGTATACATGTACTTAAAATAGATTCAAAACAATATGTGCCGAGAATATGTCTATTTAAATATTGATGCGAATTGCATAATGCTTGAATGATTTTGAGGACGAACAGTTCTGCAGTGATCTCCCCTTACTGACCTGACCGTAGCATAACCGGTGCGCAGAGTTTGACGTACTTTCTTAACGGTTGAGGAAGAACAGCCTTTCTGATAGTGGGCGTGGTTTAGGCTTTGTTACTTGTTATTTAATGATTCGACAAGTAATATTGCTCAAAGTTGTCCTGGTTCCCTTCCGCCCCGTCAACGAAGACTAAATGCTAGCATACGGAGCATCATATTAAATCAAGTCTAAAATTTCCTCATTGCTGAAAAGACGAATGCATATCTATTAGACGCCGCGCTGCGCTCGGCGTCTAATTAACTCTTTGTTCATTTTTTCTGAAGAGTTATTTCTTGAAGAGTTATTTCTTAAACGGTTTGTTTGCTGGTATTAAGGTGTGCAACTTTAAAGGCCCATTATGCCCCTAAAACAGTTTTTATTTTTATATCTGAAAAGCTTTTTATTTTTGGTGTCCTATTATAGTTTCAAAACAGATATTTATTGGTCATTTATCTGAATAATCTTTTGCTTTTTGAAAACAGTTTTAGTGATTTAGTATTTTGTGTGGAAGTTAAAAAACTGCAGTGTTTACATTTTGTGACCTTTAAAACAAATATTTTCACATTCAGCCATAATTTATTTGCTATTAAGCATCAAACATGCTTTAAAGCATTATTTGAACTGACATTTTGAACGTTATAATACTCATGTTTGTACTGCCTAATGACGGAAAAAATATTAATGTCTGAGGCATAATGTGCCTTTAAGGAAAAGAAGTTGATTCTAAGCTGAATATAATTTTTACAATGCAGGTGTATCAGTGATTTTTACATTTCAGAAATACGGAACATGGTAATTTGAGCAGGTGAAGGAAAGAAGAAAACACCACCCTCTTTACAGTCAGCAAAATAACTATGCTAGGAACTACTGCACGCCGTTACAACATATGTGACAAAGAGATTTTAATCCACCTGATACGATTTGGTAACTTTCTGAAAATGTCATGTTCAACTTCTGAATGGTGTTTTTTCTGCCAAGTTTAAAAAATATATTACCATGTAACTGTCTAATATTTATGGCAATTATGAAGTAATGACTTTTTGGCGTAGTAATAAAAACCATAAAAGGTGTTAGCTCGATTGGATTTTCTACATGAGCTTGAATAAATAAGACCTTCATAAATGCCGTGATGTGAACAGATTAGAAGGGACATTTTATTTGCTTTTTACATTGTACATCTTCTATTTACCAACATACTGTACCGTCAATGTATTGTAATGACAATAATGAGTATAATTGTAATAATGAATAATGCACTTTTTTGCAATGTATATTTCAAGTGGTGTAATAAGTAAAATTTGATCAGAATGTACATTTATTAAGACTTAATATAACGTACTGTACCGTTAACATAATGGCAATAGTAAAATTGCAGAAATGAATGATGCGCATATTTTACAATGTATATTTCAAGAAGTGTAATAAGTAACATTTAATACATGTAGTTAATAAAGACATACTAGGCCGTACAATAAGAAATAATGATAATTTAACAACGTCATGATAGAAACATTCATTTAATTTTTTTTAAGATTTAGATAATAATAACACCACCAAGAATATCACCACTACCACCAAAACAACATTAATTAATGAAACATAATGAAAACTCCAACGATGAAATATTTCATCATTCAAAAACATGCAATGATGAAAAATGAAATAAAATATTAAAATAATTGTAATAACGACCAGAAGAACAATAATGAAATAAAAGAATGAAATAACAATATGAATGAAATAAAATAAAAACAACAAAATGAAATGAAATAAACAATAATGAAATAAAATGAAATCAAAAATAATGAATGAAATAAGATAAAATGAAAACAATAAAATAAAAAAAAAAATGAAAATAAAAACAAATTGAAATAAGGTAACAAGAAATGGAATGAAAGAATAATATTGTCATAAGTGACCATTTAGTTGTTCACCTATAACATGCTTGACCTTAAAGTGACCAGCCTTTGACACCAGTATGCAGCCAGTCCAACCTGCACGTCCGTTCAAATTGACCAGACTCAAACCGTTGGCTGACCAATTTCAAATTTGATTTTATTCAAGTTATATTCCCTAAATTGAGAATGAACGTATTCAGAAACGGAAGCTGGACAAGTCCGCTTCCGATAATATTATCAACCATATACGAGTACATGATACAATGTGTTCCTTTATATTTTGAAGTATCATTTGTTTCATTTTTTTTCTTTTAAATGCTTTAAATAAGGAGTCACAAAGGGTTACTATCATTTTCATTTCCAAGCATATCTTCTTGCGTTTCATCGCCGGATAGCCACTGATACTCACTGCCTAAACCTTAACATTTATCTTGATTACATGTTAATCAACCGAGGGTATCCGACGATGCATGCGTGTATGCTTGTTTTTTTTTGTTGTTGATTTTTTATTGTTGTTGTTATTTTCAATTTTCATATGATCTGACAAAATGCTAAAAAAGGGGGTGGGGGCTAGCATCATTTAGCTTTTTTTGTTCGCTTTTGATACGTTATTCCATCATTTTTTAACTTTACTTGCCGGTTTAAATTTTTCATAGTTTTTTTTAAATTATTTTTATTTATTTATTTATTTATTTATTTATTGTTTTGCAAATTACATCAAGCGAAAAGGGTGGCTACTTGTTTTAAAATACAGATTGATCACCCCTGAAAATTCAAATGATAAAAACGGACCAAAGGAGACTTCTCTTCATCAAAACAAGTATAAAATGATAAAAGTCATTTCCCGTCAGTTTACACTCCATTACCACTTGTTATTTTTTTCTAACTGAAATAACTCTCACAAATCTTCGGTACTAACATTAACTTTTTGGGAAAATGACTTTCATAATGCTACTGTAAAACTTCCAACAAATATCAATCAAAAGTAATAACATTTGGTTGCGCAAAAGGCATAATGTTTCATTATCAATAGGGAGAGTAGTTGCCCTTTGGTCTTTGACGTCATTTCAATTTTCAGGGGAGGTTACACCGTTACTTTAGTAAAGGCAAGAGTGGTCTCCCTTTGGTCATGCTTGCTTTTACAAATTATTCTGCAATATTAAATTTACCATCAAAAACAATTTAAAGGAACACACTATAGTCAAAATTGGATACTTCCCTTTTTTACAAGTATACAGAACTTGAAATATTTCAACCAATTTTAGGGTAGATTTAATGATTAATGCTTTGATTAGAATCTTTTCACTTAGTACATATAAAAATATGAAAAAACTATAGACCTAGTATCTTTACTTATAGAATCACGATTTTAAGTATGGCTATAATTTGTGTCACGGGTAAACAGATGGTAAACCATTAAAATTTTGTATACTAGTTTATATATATCCGGAATATTTTAAAGAACAAGATTTGACATTTTAAATATATCTTGTATCTTGGAAACTTCTTTGCGTTTGTAAATATTTCTTTTAACAGATTTTAAAAATCGATTTCAGTTCTGGACAATATTTAAAATATCTCAACATCCTTAAAATTCTAAATAATTCTAACGATGTCCTTTCATAGTTTGAAACATTAATATATTAGTTAATATTTGGGGAAAAAATTGAAATTAATTTGTGTCGTGGGAACTGCTTTACTATCTAAACGTACATAAATGAAAAAAGCTTACTAATAGTTTTAATGAAGACCACTACTTGAAATAATTTAACTTGTGTCTGGAAAATCACTTGAAATATCTTAACTTTGTTTGAGCCTGGAACAATACTTGAAATATCTTTACTTAGTTTGAGCCTGGAACAATACATGAAATATCTTAACTTAGTTTGAGTCTTGAACAATACTTGAAATATCTTAACTTAGTTTGAGTCTGGAACAATACTTGAAATATCTTTACTTAATTTGAGTCCTGTGAACAATACCAATGGAAATATCTTAACTTGGTTAGTTTTAGTCCTTGAACAATACTTTAAATATCTTAACTTTAGTTTGATGTCTGGAATCGAATATTTGAAATATCTTGACTTCAGTTTGAGTCTGGAATCAATATTTGATACTATCTTAACTTAGTTTGATCTTAAAGAAACATGAAATATCATAACTTAACTTAGTTTGAGTCTGGAACAACACTTGAAATATCTAAACTTAGTTAGAGTCTTGAACAATACACGAAATATCTTTACTTATTTTATGTCTGGAACAACACTTGAAATATCTTTACTTAGTTTGAGTCTGGAACAATACATGAAATATCTTAACTTAGTTTGAGTCTGAACAATACTTGAAATATCTTAACTTAGTTTGAGTCTGAACAATACTTGAAATATCATAACTAAGCTTGAGTCTGGAACAATACTTTAAATATCTTGACTTAGTTTGAGTCTGAATCAATATTTGAAATATTTTAACTTAGATTGTGTCTGAAACAACACTAGAACTATCTTAACTTAGTTTGAATCTTAAAGAAACATGAAATATCATAACTTAACTTAGTTTGAGTCTGGAACAACACTTGAAATATCTTAACTTAGTTAGAGTCTTGAACAATACACGAAATATCTTTACTTAGTTTATGTCTGGAACAACACTTGAAATATCTTTACTTAGTTTGAGTCTGGAACAATACATGAAATATCTTAACTTAGTTTGAGTCTGAACAAAACTTGAAATATTCTTGACGAATACTTGAATCATCTTAACTGAGTTTGGGTCTGGGACAACACTTGAAATTTCTTAACTTAGCTTGTGTCTGGAACAATACTTGAAATATCTTAACTGAGTTTGGGTCTGGGACAACACTTGAAATTTCTTAACTTAGCTTGTGTCTGGGACAAAACTTGAAATATCTCAACTAAGCTTGTGTCTGGAACAATACTTGAAATATTTTAACTGAGTTTGAGTCTGGAACAATACTTGAAATTTCTTAACATAGCTTGTGTCTTGAACAACACTTAAAATATCTTAACTTAATTTGAGTCTTAACTTAGTTTAAGTCTTGAATAAATTTGAAATATTTAAACTTAGTTTAAGTCTGGAACAACACTTGAAATTTCTAAACTAACCTTGTGTCTGGAACAACACTTGAAATATCTTAACTTTGTTTGAGTCTTAAATAATACATGAAGTATCATAACTTTACTTAGTTTGAGTCTGGAACAACACTTGAAATATCTTAACTTTATTTGAGTCTTGAATAATACTTGAAATATTTTTACTTATTTTGAGTCTGGAACAATACATGAAATATCTTAACTTAGTTTTAGTCTTTAAGAATACTTGAAACATCTTAACCGAGTTTCAGACTGGGACAACACTTGAAATTTCTTAACTTAGCTTGTTTCAGAAACAATACTTGAATATCTTAACTAAGCTTGAGTCTGGAACAATACTTGAAATATTTTAACTGAGTTTGAATCTGGGACAACACCTGAAATATCTTAAATTAGCTTGAGTCTGGAACAATACTTGAAATATTTTAAATGAGTTTTAGTCTGGAACAACACTTGAAATTTCTAAACTAACCTTGTGTCTGGAACAACACTTGAAATATCTTAACTTTGTTTGAGTCTTAAATAATACATGAAGTATCATAACTTTACTTAGTTTGAGTCTGGAACAACACTTGAAATATCTTAACTTTATTTGAGTCTTGAATAATACTTGAAATATTTTTACTTATTTTGAGTCTGGAACAATACATGAAATATCTTAACTTAGTTTTAGTCTTTAAGAATACTTGAAACATCTTAACCGAGTTTCAGACTGGGACAACACTTGAAATTTCTTAACTTAGCTTGTGTCAGAAACAATACTTGAATATCTTAACTAAGCTTGAGTCTGGAACAATACTTGAAATA